TTTTTTTTTTCAATGCATCTGTATTTGATGATATTGTTTTCCATGATTTTTTTTTCACCTAAAAAAAAAAAATTATCTTGTAAGAATCAATTTCTGTGCTTATCGTGTGTATGAGATATAGGTTTCCAAACAAAAAATTAGAACTTAAGAGAGTACTAAAAACGACAACATCCCAACAAGTAATTAGGTTGCATATCTTATGTGTGTTAAGCCTAAAATGTACAACATCTCAAGTCAAATTCACAACAACAAAGACAATTGTCATAAACTAAAAAACAAGAACTTAAAACATATGCCATAACTAGATAGAACCATCATACCATGGCTATATAAAGATAAAACCATCAAACCATAGGCATAACCATCAATTCATAGCCATAATCATCAAACCATCATACCATATTGATAACCATAAATCCATATATCGTCATGTAATTTTAATTTATGTCATTTTAGTTATTTTCGTGTAAGTTTTTCTATCCCTGCAATTCAAGTTATTCTGTAAAAGTTTAATTAGTATATTTTTTTATCTAATCTTTTGCAGAAGTCACATGTTACTCATGATTGTCCTACCTACTACCATAATAGTCACATGAAAAATGAACGACCAAGACTTGTTTGAAATATAGTGTATGAGTTATCACTATCAAAGAACTAGTTTACCTTTTCTTTCAAAATTCAGCAGTCTAAAAAATGTCTTCGTAAGTCAAAAGAAATTCATTTACTTTATTTTTACTTTTAATTTTACTTTTGCTTTACTTTATTTACTTTACTTTTACTTTATTTTTACTAATTTAGAGATGACTTCATCACCTCAACTTTCACGTGTTTTTTGACCTTGAGGCATAGGACCCCATTCCTGCCAATCTAGCATCCCTGGTATTTCAAACAATTGTGCTGAGGGAATGCGCCCTGGTTGTTGCTACTAGTCAGGCTCATCAAATGCAAACATGGCTCATGGTGGTCGTGGTAGAGGCCGAGTAGAGCATTTTCTTGAACGAACTCACTGGATAGCCATTTCATTACACTGAATTGGTTGTCCGTCTACCCCTAACACTTTATAGTGTGACTTTCTAAGTGAAAGCTTCTCCCGGAGTAAGAAATTCAGTTTCCGATTCAAGTCAATCTTGGAACTTGCGGTTTTTCCGCATGAAGTCAACAATTTTTCGTCTCTCTAAGGTGAGTGCTTACTCTCCTACTTGAGTCTATTTAGCTTTCGGTAATGAGTACACATCTTCTTTTCTTCATGAACCATCAGGTGCACCATAAGGTGACGCTCTTAGTCCAACAATTTCCAACTCGGATTTGGGTCTTCAGCTCTCGTAGCTTCTTGATATCTCATTGGTTTGGCGCTTTTGACACTGATCCTATTCTAGTATCTGATCAATTAAATTCCACTTGTCGGTCAGGTGGTCTTCCCGATAACATTTTTGAAAATACGTTCACATGATTGCGAACAACGGTTAACTCTCTGGACGTTGTCAGCAAAGTGTTCTATCTCTTCACGACTTTTAGAGATTTCCCTATCGGCATGTCGTCCATCTGCCCACAACTTCCAACTTGAGAGCTGCGGCATTTGGCACATGTATGTGAAATTATTCTGAGTCTTCGCCTTTCTAAACTATCTCAATCTTTCATGTGTACGAAGGTTGGTTCTTCTTGAATTGTGGTTGTTGCGATCTCCCACTCAGCTTTCATTGGATCTTCTGGTGACTGCTACAGTATGTCGTCTGAGCATTCTTACACTATTGAAATCTTTCTTGGTTGATGGCTTCTTTTCGAGACAACGAGTAAGCCGCCTCGGTGACAAACATGACTCGACGTATGGTCCTCGCTCTTGTTTCCTTCAAACTTGACCTTCTCCTTCTTTGACTACTAGAGATCACCTCATACGAGAACATGTCTGATATGGTTTAGCTTCAAGCCTCCATGGTTCTTCCCAGACTTATGGCTTTTATTTCAAGCCTTCAGGATTTACCCGGACCTATGACTCTTATATACTGAA